GCGTCATGTGTTCATATCCGGATGTTGTCAGTTATGTAGCTTTGCAGTACAGTAGATAGATGTGGAAGACCACTTCACACTTGTTTTTTCTCCGGAAGCTGGGGGTCCGGGGTCATTTGGGCGATTTAGGTTGCTTACGGTATCCCCCGGACTGTCCCTTCTGTAAGCGTGGATCACAGTTCCATATTAACTTGTACAAAGCTACCAGTAGTTGTTCTAGTGAGGAAAATTGTTGAGAATTCCCGGTTCCTGTGCAGAAGCGAACTCCCGTGCCTACCAGTGGAACCACACAAACGTACTTCTTAGGAACATGTAACAGCTATTCCTACCCCAGTAATTTTCCCATCAATGAACGTTACCTGGTGGACCCCCATTAGTCACTGTACGATTGTCAGTTTTTCGATAGTTAAATCGCTACAGTAACAACCTCCACCTGGTAAAATTAACGACGACGAAATCGGGCTTGATCCGTTGTACGCGGCGGCGGCGGCGGTGTCGACGGTGACGGCGGCATCGGCGCGAGGCAGCGGCGGCGGTCTGCCACACATTCGTCATTATCCCCCCTTTCAAACCTCTCCGCCGCTCTAGGCTCATGTCGTTCTAACTCCTTATCCTCGCAATTTCCTCAATCTCTTCTCCATACCCGTCCTCCGATCGCCATCGTTGAACCTCCAGCAATAGGAGTTCTTTACTTCTTAAGCCGACCAGTTTTTGATAGCTTCGTACACGTCTCTAGCTGACGGGACCGGCTGCATTTTACGCTGACTTCATGATGCCAGAGGTTTACAGGAAGGAAATCCGAAGCACCCTCTCCTGTTCCTCCGCCAGCTACTGCTTTACTCAGTTCATTTTTCAAAATCTTTTTTTCCTCCCAGTTTTACAAACAGCATTACTCGTTAAATTCTTTTACAAGTTACTTGGATGTAGGGCTCGGGTTTTGACCGATTATTACTGAGGGGAAAGAGGGGGGATATCCCAAGTTCTCCTCACAAGTATGTGATCGAAAAACGTCTTCAAGCGGCAACCCGCACATCCTTCAATCAACTTCTTGTTCGTATAAGCGAATTTACACTTCGGGGGGCGAGGGCTCCCTTCATTCCATCACATGCAGATCACCCACATCAGGCTCCATTCACGTCGTTACCAGTTTTCTCCAGTAACAGCTGTACATGTTTCACATGCACTCTGACATTTTTACCTTTAACAACTACTCAAGTTTACTGCATCGAATTTTCAAAAAATCTTCTCCCTAATCGTGATATCCTTCACAGAACTTTGGCATGGAAATGAGTGGGAACAATTTTTCCCATGACGCTTTTTCAAAAATAATTTGTGCAGCCAATCTATGAAATAAATTAGGTGGAGAAGTGGATAGCTCAAAAAGAGGATTTATTTTCAGCGGAAAATCAAAGGTCCCTATAGCTTCCCATTCTTCCTAGGAAATTCTTCCTATCTTCATTAGCCTCACATAGGTCTCTGAATTCAAAGTCGGGCCAATTATCTTCCTTCAATCCTTCTACGATTGCCTCCCTCCTCCGGGATCTGCGAGTCTATGAACTAAAAAGGTTGGCTCTAGAGCGAGTTTCTATTCTCAGGTACGTATCGTGATGGCCTTGACTTCCAATAAAGCCCTACAGAGGCCCCAGAGTCCGTACTTTTGCTGGTGACTTCCCTATCACAGCTACTCCTCGGGAATCCGCCCTGGGTCCGCCGTTTCACTTGGTCAAATTGCATTGTTTCGGGATTGTACTTCCGAGAATCGTATTCCCACATTATTCGGCCATTTCAAAGTGGCCATCTGGGTCAATTGGTCATGTTAGTGCATTTTTACCCATCATTTTTGTTTTTCTTTGGGGTTATACAGCCTAATATGCATCTCACCCACCTGGACGTGACCACTTTGCAACCGGATGTGAGTACATGCTCCCACTCTATTACGCTCATACCTCGAGCTTCAATTTCCGCCTACTAGGCATCCCCATCGAAGTCCGACAACCAACCATTTCACGTTTTTGGGAAGCTGATGTACCGATGTACGGATTTTCCTAGACTGTTCGTTCATTCATGATAACCTTCCCTGAATGGGGACCCCAAGAAAAAGGGGCCAGCCCAATGCCTTGAATGTTGCATCGTGCCATCGCTTCTCAGCTTAATATTAATAAATAATATGAGCAGAATCCTGGGAGATTTGGAATCATTCACTCATTCCCGCCCCCAGACTGAAAAAAACTCATCCGCCTGAAACTCTCTGGGGAAGTTCTGAGCAGGGAAACTCATTTTCTGCGCAAAGACGCCTCTGAGAACGGGGCGTTTTCTGCTCCGAAAACCTTTGCCTATTCCACTATCCCTAACTTGCTGGTACCACGAGGGGTTCCGCAAGATTCCCAGTGGCCTTGGAAGCTTTTTTCCCCGTTTCCCCAAGTTTTCTTTCTCGAAAAAAAAGTCTCCCAACAACAAAGAGTAACCTTCACTTGTCTTCAATTTGCTCTATGAATTTCCATCTCCTTGTCAGTAATTACCAGTGATTCCCGACTTTAAATGTGGGGCACGTCAATAGCAGTCACCCCTCTCTTACACAGTTTGTGATGTTTTCCTTAGAAAAAGACAAGTTTGATGCCGTTTTCCCATCAATTTCCGCAATTATTTAATTATCGCGTTAATTCAGTCTTCATTAACGAGCCAACTGGCTCATATTAAAGCAGTTTTCAGCCCCGTTCGATATACGGTCCCCCTCACAGGCTTGATCTCAGGCGTACTATCTGAAGATCTTTTTTGGGACCTTAGATGTTCAAGCTTCGACTGATTTGTGGCACATATACTGTGAACTCGAAGGATGATCCATCGTGGTAGGATGTTGATCCTGAAAATCAGGGTTTCTCATTAAATCGGGGAGCTCCCGCATCGGTGCAGGAGAAAGTGAGATCGGAAGTGACAGAGTGAGAGTGAGAGATATTGAGAGCCATATCATAAATAATCATATCCGTTATATTTAGCACTCTCAGTCGCGTGGATCCACAACGATCGCAGGAGAACCTGTTGGCTACGACCGCCGCCACGACGACGTCCTCGACGAGTACGGGCCTTGGTAATTGTGTAGGAGGAGGAGTAGGCGGCTCTAGTGGAGGAAGGTTGTCGGTCAATGGAAGGACTGCACTCAGGTGATTAATCTTTCTCTACGGGCAATCTGAAATCAAGGAATGTGCCGCTTTGATTCATAGAGATTCCGAATGAGTGCTGTTTTGTGGAAAAAGGACTTTGAATCGCTTTTCAAGGTGAAAATCGAGGAGATTTCCCGAAAATATTTGAAAGAACGCAATTTATTGTTCGGAACCAGCGGCCAAGGAGCAGGAGCACCTTTCAAAGCCTCCCAGAAGCAGGGATAACAGTTACTACTCTCATCAGGTTCACTGTTTCGCTGACTGGTAGCTATCCCTTTATGGGAGATCGAACTAGCTACTTCCCTTATTATGAAAATCCTTTTAATCTTTTTTTGGCTCCAGAACTTTTAAAAGTACCGGTAACCAGATGATTTTGAAGTTCTACAGTAATTCTGCACTCACCTCTGTTGTAGGGGAATAAAACCAATTTTGGTTTCAACGCTGTTCCCTTCGTTTACTCAAGTATGAATACTAATTTAGTGACTCATGAGAATGGTACAGAATTGGCCATATTACCAAGAATGGTGCATGCGGTCGCGCTGCGTCATGGGTCCCACGCCGGTGCAGTCGGCTACCGTATTCCTACTTTTTTCCTTTTTTCTATTCTTAGTCCTACGATCGTATAGTATCGTGAGTCACGAATAAGTCCATGAGCATTTTTTTTCAACCTCGTACCATTAATTACATCCACCTGTTGTTGATGAGGCTCCCTCTTCCTCGCTCAAGCAATTCATTTTAAAACGGTTTTGCGCTAAACACTACAACCACTTGAAATGGCGTCAAATGAATGATTACTACGAACTATACTTCATTATCACATCAACCAGTTGCGAAACAGGACATGTTTCCATGCGATCGAATTTTTTTTTTCTACGATTAAGGTCATGCTCCAAATCTTCGCAGCCGGGGTCCACAGTGTCAAACCCTGAAACTGTTGTTTCACCAAAGTACAGATGTGCTTAGCCCCGAAACCGTAAGTTGTTGGACAATTTATGGATGTCCACAACTCTTAACTAGTAATGTCAGTAATTTAGAATAATGGAAAGTGAACAAATGATAATAATGGGATGTAAGATATAATAAATGGAGAAATCACCCTGTGATTCAAAGCTAATCATACATATGTATGTTTGACGGCTGATGTAACAGCGCTCCAATGCAAAAATTGGCGCGCGACAACTATCCATTGCCTAATGTCCTTGCCTTTTTGACCCCGACATCCGCTAAATCGACCAGTGGATGTTTACCCATCCTGATCTCTTTTTTTTTTGTAATGCTTCGAATTTCACTTTTTTGTTTTTCTTAGTGGTTGATATCGCAACTTTTTCAGGTCGAGTCGATCACATGAAAGCCTTCTCAATTACAACACATGTCTGGTAGATCTTGGTGAGTTTCTTCAATTGAATGATATCGCGGTGTACGCTTCGCGGTAGTGATTCCCAATCACGTCGTATAGGTGAACTAACTAGTAATGCTGGTTTTCGTTTCCTCTCCAGCAGGTCGTAGAGTCGCGAGAGGAAATTCAATCTTGGGTGGACCTACGGGGGTGGAACTGCGCCGCCGATCGCAACGACGACACTCAAACCTCAAAAGCAATCTCGAATTTCGTCGTGGTGGTCGCATACACTTTGAACAAACATCACCACCGCTCTATCGTCGGTCGGCGATGCATTTGTGTAACGCATTAGAAATAATGATGACTGTGTGTGGTGAAAGAACGATTATGATGCATAAAGGATAAAGAGCCAGCCGGTTTGATAAATCTCTTCACAATGTGCCGCACCTTTGCCACTAATCCGAACTTTCTGAAAGGATCTATTATGACAGTATTTAGGGCTACTGAGCGTCCTTAATCCTGGCCAGCTAATCCGGCACCAATTACTGAAACGGCGATGAACTCAAGAAATTCTTCCAAAAGTGCGGCCCGCTTTACTAGTAACTGAACTGCGAATCTTGTGCATGGATTCAGTGAGAAACTAGGCATCTGCAAAGAAATTGCTTGTTGTTTGGAGCTTTTCGCCTTCAATTGTGATTTTCTTGATTGTCCCAATACTGTTGACTTTTCCCGTTACTGAGATTACTGTCACTTCTCAGTTTTAGTTGGCAACAAGATTTATAGTAGAAATTTCGAAGGGATTTAAAAACGATAATTGTTTAACCTGATGTTTCAGTTAATTGTTGTTATTTCGCCGCAGTACGCGATTAGAAAGTTGCGCAACATTAATGAGGCATGGGCAAAACTTTGGTCTCGGTCGGGGCTCGAACCTGTACTCATCCCATCCGAGCACCGTGCTCTTCACCCTGACTGGCTTTGACCTTGCATTCTTTAGACGACTACAAAACTTTACTACAAAATCCTGACTGGTTAAAAAAAACTTTTGAAAATATGACTATTATCGTGTCTAATTGTAAAGCTTCTAGCTGTAAATGTGAAGTTTCGGACCGAATTCATTGAAGTGTCCTCAGTGATGTGGACGTGAAGTGAATTCGGATTTGATTGTAGCTTAAGACATTACTAATTGACTTTTGAGTTCAAGTAAATCGTCTTTCATTCAAAACATTTTAACTGGTTTAATTTTGCTCTGAAATATCGCAGTAAGGTCACCAGGAAGTAAGCTACAATTGCAACTTTTCAGTTTTTCTCGTGGGAGGTATCAAGTCCGTCAACCTTTGAGTTTCTTTTTTATCTTTCTGATCGCCCATTTGGGATTGGCAATACGCCTTTATCTGCTCATTTGTGACGGAAAACATCGAAAAAAATGTCAATCGTTAATCTTGGAAAGGTGGCGGCTTCCAGTGTAACTAAAAGCGCAACAGCTGTTTTCTGGCCAGACGACTGAAAAGCATAAAATTCAGAGTAGTATTTCGGGAAGTTCCTGAAATCCATACATTCAGGTATTGATTACAAGTTAAGAGCTGTATAAACAGTCTGAGCATTTTTTCAAACTCCTTTCGCAAAAGGAATGAATGTTTTGAAGCTGAAATTCATAGCGATTTTTCATAGAATTCTCTGTTCTGTAAATGAAAATTCCGGTTTCACAAGTGACCGCGTTGGACCATGAGTCCAAAGATCGAGATTGGTAGTTGTCAGCAAGTCGAAAGTCCAGTGTTTTCGGAGTTTCACGTAACTTTTTGGTTTCATTTGACTTTATCGTAGAATAAGGAAAATCTCTGAAAGCAGCCACATTCTCCGACTTCGCCCCCTCATCCCAAACCACCGAATTGACCATCCACCGCCCTTGGGAGAACAGGTAGGGGCTTTTAGTGAGACGCCACTCTCCCGGGTGCCGCGTAAAGTGGTTGCTGCTTTCAAGGGAGTTGAAGCGAGGGCTTTTAATAGCTCCACCCTGATTACTTGGAACAAGCTGAAACCGAGAAATCCTTTGGCTCATAGTCACTTGTGTTTTCAGTCGATGATGATGGAAAAGTACAAGTTTTTGACAAAAAGTGAAGTAAAAGAAAATATGTGAGTACATATATATGTAATAATTATGTAAAAAACATGAGCAAAATAATTGTAATTGTAATTATTGATTATCAAGATTATTTTCTGCCCTAAGTGACAAAACGAAATTCGGCACGGTGAACCCAAATAAGGGGATTTCACACCAATTACTTCTAATTCCTTAAGTAGTACTTTTTAAACAACGACTTTCGACTGGAGTAATGGTGGTAGTAGTAGTAGTAGGGGGAGGAGGAGCTCTGGAGCGATCCTGCAGCTATTATCTCGGAAGTGATAGACCAGACGGGTGAAAAAGTCGAAAGTACCTCATTACCGCGTCATCACCCATCCACTTATCCACGAGTGGGCTAAATTTTCAATTCGGACCTTTTTTTCGAGTTATTTGGTGTACTCTAAAACGTGCCATTCGAATCAGAGAGGATTTACCATTCCAAAAGGGGAATGGAGACGAACCAAATGGGAAAGGGGTTTCCCGAAGGAATTTCATAGGTTCGCCAAATAAAAATGAAATCCAGTTGCTCTTGGATCGATTGCGATGGTCCACTAACTCAAGCTGTATAAGGGTTGTCCATAGCTTCGCTCTGAGCCATTCAGAATAGACCTATGAAACATATGTCCCCAGAGGAGTTATGGCCCCTCATGTCTAAAAGGAATTAAGTCAATCGGGGTATATGTACCATACACCCCTTAACCAGGGTGATTGGTGTAAATCGTAATGATCGGGACAACATTAAAATCAAATGATTGATTGAAGAACATGACTTTCTGGGAATTGAAGCGCCCCGTTAGTCCCCCGTACGACGGAGGGTCCCATTGACCCCGTTTCGTGCAGCGTTTTTGCATGTATCACCTTCTTTCCGGGTGTCGATGGGTTGACCGCCGCCGTCGGTGGGTGGACCAAAGATCGGCGCCATCCACGGGGGTTCGCGATCGCGCTGGCGTACATCGTGATGGTTCGAATTGAGGCTAATGTCGTGATGAATTTTTTTTTCATCAAAGTAATTTCTTTCAGGTGAAGATGCCAGATTACATCCAGTTCATCCGTCAGTGTTGGATGTGCCGAATTGTTTCCGCGTTGCCAACACGTATTACGCATGTCGCACACCATTGGAACGGGCCAAATGGATTGAAAAGTAAGTCTAAGGGATTCAGAACAGGTCATGGTCCCAGTATGGGCTATGGTTATGATGTCCCCTCTCTTCGCCTAGAACCTTTCGGCATGTTCCCATAGCTTTGACGGAATACTTGAATTCCTCGGGGTCGCTGCCAATAGGCATTCGTTCAAAATGCATTCTTTCGGGCAATAGAACGTCTCTTGGGTGATCGATTTCGTCTCTCTCGGAAAAATGGACGGCGAGCCGATTTTTTCTTGCCCGATGCTTCGCTTATCATCGTCATTCTCCGTTAGTGACGTTGACACATCGTCTTGGGACTCCCGCGACCATTGCAATCCTATTGTAGTCACCCACTCGTTACCAACCAAAAACAGATGTTCTCTCTAGCTGATGACAGTCCGAGTGGGTGAGAAAGGGTGGAGCCCTCCTAAGCCGTTCACCCTCGTCCTCCTCCTTCGATCCCACCTGTGCGAATATCGATCGATCGTCTAATGGGCTGCTGCGCAGTGCCCTCATTCAATGTTCACTATTTTCCTCCTCACAACATCCCCCCTTCGTCACCGCACATTCACTCGTACCCATTTTACCCATACGAAACTCCCACTTTCGGCAACTTTTCATGTTCACCCCCGATCCGAGTATTTCTCGTATTTCATCTACCGGGCTGTCAATTTCCTCCCGGTACCTCAGCTTTTGTACCATTTCCCAGAGCAAATATGGACGTGGGTGGGCACCCAACTAGTTCACATTATAGGCATACAACACGCCACTTTCCTTTCCTACTTCAAAAACAATTTGCGTAACGTTGTTGACGCGATGTACTTGGGAATGGCGTGTTCTTTTTTTGGACGACTATTGAGTCACATAGACCTCCTCATAGCACCATGTTTATTCCTGAGAACTAGTTAGTAATTCTTAGTACTATGGAGCTTATGTTCCCAATCGGTCTACCATGTAAGCAATTTTCCACACCTCAACGATTACATTACTTGATTTTATCGATTTACTGCATCTGTATTCGAGTGGATCTAACTGTGTTTGGATGCTTTTTTAGCAATTTGGGCGTATAACTTGTGGTGTACTACAGGTCAACTAGCGAGTAAAGTAGAGAGGTCACCGGTGTATTCCTTTGGAGGTATTGTAACGGTGTCTAGCCATATCCAGTAGCAAGTTTCGATTGTCAAGTAATAAATCACAAAGTATCCTTGTATCCCTTCGAGCATGGGCGTGGCAACCGGTCGGTCGGTCGGTCCGTCGGCCGCCGACCGCCGACCGTACGGCGGCCACGCACCATCAGAAATGTCCGCGATGGTTGGTAAACGCACCACATGTTTGAACAACATTTATAAGTATTTACATATTAGTCATCTATACGTTATTGATTAATTATTGATTTTTCTCCGCTATTTTCCGGGTTTTTCCAAGCTATTTGATCGTATTCAACTAGTTGCGGCTACCTTGAGACTTTGTTTTGGCGGTGGAGATGGTGGCACTGTCCCGAGGGATCAGAGCCGAGCGGAAACGAATTGAGAGACAAGCAAATTGTTCGAATTTCGGCTAAAAGCATTTCTCCCCGAAAGTGTCGCCTCCATCGGTGATATTGCTCGATAACAATACTTAGGAATATCTTGAGATACCTTATTTCTTTCGTTTCCCCCTCATCATTTTTCGGTCGAGCTCTCGATGTTTTTCAAGGAACTGATTAATGCTGTCTGGGGCTGGGGCTGGCGCTGGCGTTGGTAAATGAAGAAGTTCTGAGAATCATAAAACGATTTTATGACGCTCAACTACGGATTCTCATCTACATCATCATACCGCCGACCCTTTCCCACGGACGAGACGCTCCCCCCACCACTTTGCTGTCTTTGTTTGATTTAGAGACCATGTTTGGGGTTTCTAGTGGATTAGCCCTCGTCAGTGGACTTCTAGCACTGTGCTATCAGCACTGTACACTTCGGCATGGCTATGTACAGCACTTTTGGTTCCGCTCTACTCGGACCTTCTGTATGACCCCCTTTGGAACCTCCTGATAGTCTTCGGGAGCGAATTCTTTCACAGAAAGCAGTCTAGGCCGCCTAACTGGTTAAGTTTTTCAAATACCTCTTGATCCTCCCATAAAGGCCACAATCTTTTGCCATTCCTGAAATGTTTCGAAATCGGACATGAAAATTTGTCAAAATTCAAAATGTGCGAATTCTGGCCCTTTCTCCTGGGAACGATTGTCGTTTCCTTTTTCCCCTTGAAGGGGCGGACGGACGAAATTATGGAATGAATGGACGAAAGGGTGAGAACGAAAACGGAAAAGCAGCAGCACGTGTACAACATATAACTCATGGCTACTGGTATTCTGACAGGTTTCCTGTTAAGTGACGTGATGTAACTATTTTTAACTTCTTTGTCTGATAGACAGTAATGGATTTATTGTTGTTTCGTTCATCGGTTCGGTGAGATGTTTACTCGTAGCCGGTGGCCTTCACGAGGTCGTTTCATATTCATCTAAGCACCTCCCTTCCTCATCTATTTCCTTTCTCTACCTCTCTCCTACCCATACAGACAATCGTCGTCATTTTTCAGAACATATTTTATGCCTTAATTACCACCGTCCACTATCCCTCCTGAATAGTCCGTCTTCATTGCGAAATGTACCGCCCAGACCGACGATACGGGCCAGCCTGATGGGTTCTCTTCTCGTTTACGACCGCTTGAAGTGAATCCCCTCCCTCCTCCTCCTCCCTGTCCTCCCCGTCCTCCCCGTCTTCCCCACACCGTTATCCTATTTGCTGAAGGGTCCGGTTCCATCCACGGACAATCAAAGGCAATCATTAGTTTCATCATCATCTGCCACTAGTGGCCGCAATACAAGAACAACGGGTCGGTGGTGGACTGGGACTGTCTGTGTGTGTGTGACCATCGTAAAATGATGAACGATGATTTGATGAAGTCGCTTTCGTGTGATCATGACGCTTTTTATGTCATCTTTGTGTATATTTGCAAGATGAACCGGTCTTGACTGCTTCAATCCACTCCCTTTATGGATCGAAGTATAAACTCCACCTATTTCC